TTACATACTGTAGTTTGTTCTTTTTATTGTGTGTTAAATAAAGATATCTGCTGTCATTGAATCAACAACAACAACTATAATATCTACAGATGAAATGTAAACATGGAGGATGTTTGGGGATATTAAGGGGGACCACCCCATCGTCACCGTCCCAGGACCGGTTAAACAATAGCAGCAGGGGGACAGGATGCAGAGAAGTTAGGGCGGTGGGGGAAAGGGATAAAAAGCTTAAAATACCCATGCATTATACTCTAAATCTATTCAGCATAGAAAATATCTTCAAACCAGGTTGTTAAGATTAGTTTTACACAAAACAAAAAATCATATGATCCAGTAAAGTTGCACCCTCAGCATGAAAGTTATATAATTTACAAACACTTACATGCATGCTGCTCGTCTTACCATTTATAATCTTGTCCCTTTCGAATCTTAAGGGTTATTATCATTTCAACGAGAAGCGGCAGCAAGAGGATAGCGAGGAGCCAGTAGAGATCGCCCTCAATGCGTTTCACCAAGCCGATGCTGAGCAGAGAGGCGAGGATAAATAACGCTCTGGGTATAATCGCACATATAAACTTGCACATCTTGCTGCTGGTTGAAGGTCAGTATCGTGCACTGCAGATGTTCCCGTTATTCCTGAAAAGTTAAGATCCCAGAAAGCCAGTGGTTGCTGCTTCAACAGTGAGGGGGAAAAATGTTGGATGTAGTTTTTTGAACAAAGTCCCCAAAGTGTAAGCTGCGCCTATAAAGGAAGGCCAGTCCAGTTTCACCTAACAGGAGGCGACAGAGAGGCTATGCGGGACTCAGTGGGCTGCTGTTATATATGACAAACCGAGGTGCCTCATAACATCATTCAGAATTAATCAATGATTTATGAATGACAACATAGGTACGTCACTAAAATATGCAAATGTACAGGAGAGGGCAGCATCACATCGTGAGGGCAGGCTTCTTGCTTCTGCATTGGATGGGAACTTAATTTTACAAGACAGTGCCATGCTGGTGTGTCCAACATGCTAAAGAGCTGGTAGTCTGTGGCATTGGTTCCTAATCCAATTCCAGTCTGACGGTCTGCATCCCCTTACAGCTCCAGAGATCAATCTGAGGGGTCACGAGACAGGTAACATGGGAGCAAAGAAGAAAAGAGAACCACTTAATCTGGATTTTGCTCTTATCTTGTGAGATTAGCGGGTCAAACTTTCTGTATCCCAATGGCAATAAAACTGAAGTCATTTTATTTGGACCACAGTATTTGACCAACATTATATCTTCTCATCTTGGCCCTTTGACCTCTTCTGTTTAGCTCTTAAATTCAAGATTTAAGTGTGACAAATATGTGTGGTACATTATGTTTAGTGTTTAATAAGAATGAACCAAACGTCTCTTTATTTTTCATTTGTCATTATGTATTGCCTCGTGATCAACACATGCTCACTCTTCCATGTAGGAATGTTTAGTTCTTAAATGACACAAATATAACAAGTAAATACATGATGTATACAACTAGGTTGCAAATGAACCATAAACCTCAAATATCAGATGAAATAATCAGCATTAAATACATCTGTATCAATAACCTAGATAATTAACAAAGACACATGGTTTAAATACAGGTATACTGCCATCTAGTGGTAGAAAGATGGTAAAGCAACAGCATCCTACATTGGAATATCAGTGCCAACAGAAACAACTCTGTGAACACAACAATTACTTTGATTAAACTATATTACGAACTGTATTGCATCAAACAATGCACCGATTAATCGAAAACTTCGTTCTTTCTGTGTACATGGATAAATGCATATTAAACTGCATGTAGTCAACAACTGTTGCTAACATACTCCCATCGGCCCAGGTTTATTTATTTCTATTCATTCATGTGTTTTCTTCTAATGTTACCCTGGTATGTGCTTGCATCATAGACTAAGATTTTCTTGCATACGGTCATTTCATTTTGAAATTACCTGTTGTGCTTTGTATGGAAGCCCATTTTCACCAGCAAAAACAAATGCACCAACACTTCTGCATACTTTAACACAACAGTCATAGAAGCAGCTCTTTGACATTTGACATAGAAATGGATTAAAGAGTTTTAAATTGAACAACTCATAATTTCTAATAATATATAAAAATGTACACAACTCAGTTCTTGCCCATCAGTCATTAGGGTTTGTCCAACATAAAGCTACAACCATGTAGTCTGATCACATATCATTATTATTATTATTATGATTAATAATATTATTATTTCCCCATGCAGGAAATAACATGTCAGACCAAGTCTGACACACACACACACACTCTCAAGCCAGTTTGCCCTACTTGGCAGAATATTGAGTAGATTTCTATTAAAATCAATCTGGCCAGCCGGTGTAGGAGAGAGGAAACAGTAGAAAGGCCTGTGACCTTGGAAAGGGGACAGACTTTTCCTGTCTTTGTTCGAAAGTGTCTGTCATCTTCTTGGTTTGCATCACGTGACATCACAATGAGAATTCCAGACAGTGAAACAAGTAGGAGAGAGAGTATCCAGCTGTATGCAGGGGAAGAAATATTACATCCTGCCTCAACAAAACATTGCGGGTTAAGTTTTTTAAGACACCACTTGTGTATTGGTTTTCTTGTTTCCAAGTGATTGACATCTAGAATAAACAAAAAGTGGCACTGAATCAAAAAGCAAACCAATTTTAGTTGAGTGTTCCCTCTTGACAACAGCAACTTACTCTGTCAGAGAGTGAGAGTCATAAAGGGAAACAAGCACTCCTTTGTTGACTGAGACAGAAAGGCCATGCAACGTCATACCCCAGGCCTGGTGTTACCCACTGATTCTGTGTGTGTGTGTGTGTGTGTGTTGGGGGGGGGGAGGGGGTGTTCGAGACTCAGTTCTTGGCTGTGTGGAGATGATAATAAAAGAGATGGCCGAGGGGCTCTGGTCACTGATCACAGAACAGTCATTCCCCTCTATTCTGCTGCTTCAACCAGCACTGCTACAAAGCTCACGTAAAGTCGCTGCGTTTGCTGTGTCAGCATAAAAAAGTATCTCTGCAACGTAGAATAGAATACAATGCAGAGCAATAAATCAACTCTGAGATCATAACACAAAATATTTCTAGTTATACAAACTACAAAGGATGATAACTATTAAATCTATTTAACTAAAAACGTATTAAGGCACTCAGGGACGCGAAAACACAATCAAAACTGGTTCAGTGAAACTAATGTGTACACACAACAAAAAGATCATGTAGCTCTATTGGGGATGCATGATTCGACTTTTTCTAATAACTGAACTCACAATTGTGGTTGGTTGTGTTCCCATTCATAGTGTACGTATTTGATTGTAAGTTTGAGACTGTGCGGAGCATCAAAGACTAATAAACACCATGCACAACTCTTTTCTAGACCAGTACATTACGCTTAATTAGCCTGTCTTGCCTTCATCAGGGTGGTGTCTCAGGTTATTGAGGTTGACATCTGAGGAAAACAATCTCAGGTAGTTCCCTTATGAAGGCAAGGTAGTAAGAAAAGTTTGGTTAATAAAGTGTAAGAGTTATGCAAAGTCTTTTAATTTGGATGGCATTCATACACCTACATTCTCTTAAGCATTGTGCACATTTTACTGATAGTTTT